TCTCAACCTGGAGGACCTTTCACATTGAGTACTATTGTAAAGTATGATAAAAGTGCAAACAAAGGATGTTAATGGCATATAAGTCAAAATACAGACCAAGCCCTGACAGCGACTCATTTTGCTTTATTGGCTAAAGGAGCAGTTTCCTTTTAACTTAATTTCAAACAGACTTTCTCCCCCCCAACTGAAAAGTTTTTATTGAAGTTTTTGAGTAGATGCTGATATAGGAGTCTGACAGAAATAAAATGAATGGCAGTACATCATTTGTAACCCCTGACTTGTTTTTTTTTTAATGTAGAGTGTGATGAATGTGAACATAGATTTGCTTGTCCTGGTAACCACCATGTACTTCCAGAGAGACCAATTCACTCTATGAGTCCAAAATTAGAAGGTAACAACCGCTGATATTTTAAAGTTGAAACACATTTATCAGTTTTTTAGAAAATACAAAGGAAACTGGCAGGTGAAGGAGCTTCCACAAACTTTGTTTTGGGTTTTCAAGATTTCCCTTTCCCTTTTTTACACTACCGTAAAGCAAAATAACTCGTGATTTAAATAGCATAACTCCTGGCTCACTGTGGTACAATAAAACAAAACAAACCAATCAAACAAACAAAAAAACTGAACAGATTCATATTTTTTTTTGGCTGGAAGACAGGAAAGGAACTTAGTCATCTGGACTTGATGCCCAAAGGATACATATAGATTTATATGTTTGCAATGTATATGAGTATGATGGGATTTATATGGTCTGTCAACCTCCCTATGAATAATGCTTGCTGTAAGCAATGTCACAGTACATGACATACGATGGCAGTACTTTCAAGGTTTGCTTGAATTTCTTCAGTGTAATCAGCATGTCATAAGATCACACATACCTCTGTCCTTCTAGAAGTCAAGTACATTTTCTTGCAAGTAGATAAGATTTCCTGACTCTTTTCAAATGCAGTGTGAATATTTTCCTATTATTCTCATAGTCTTTTCCCCTGCTCCCTCCCTGAAAAAAACATATGCAAGTGAAAGCTAGCTACTCATAAAAACTGATGGTTTTGGAAACTTCATGCACGATTAACAATTCTTATTTAAGTATTCTTATTCCTATTGTACACATGAATATGTAGAGGCCATAATCCAAATATCACATTAGAGACCTCCCTCGCTATATAAAAATTAAGACACACCATAACAGGAAGTTTTAGCATTATTAGTCTGGCTATGAAATCTGTAAATCATGTCCATATGCTTAAAAAGCAAGTCACGCTGAACACAGTAATAAAAGGCATTTCAAACTTCAAAGAGAACGTTCCTCTTCTCAATAACCTTCCCTCTGAGAAGGTCATTTAGTCATAGGTTAAGAGCTAATGACATCAGTCAAAAAACAGATCTGCCATGAATTTTACATACCTCATTTAAGTCTTCTGAATTGTTATATTAAATCTCTGTTATTAAATTCTGATATATCAATATGAAAGATAACATAAAGCATTTCTATTTTAAAGTTTGTTGAATATTTTTAAATGGATTGAAGAATCCAGAATATCTCAAATAAAATAACATTATGAGTTTTTACGAATCCTCATCAAATTCTAATTATCTGCTTGCACTTCCATCTCCACCCAGAGCCTCCTTTTAATCCTGGCTTTCCATTTAAAGGATTTATGGCTGTTCCACAGTGTTAAACGACATCCGGATCTTCTTGGGACTGTGGCAACGACAACCATCACGCAGCACTGTGCTTCACAGCATTGTGCTTAAAGTCTTGAGCTATTCCACACAGTATTGCAGTTAATGTTACAAATATGTAGTATATACTCTAGCTTTGGTCATTTTCTAATCGTACAGGAGAGTGGGATGGAAAAGAGCAGCACCCTGCAATGCAGAGACTGGCACAGGGCTTTAGGAGCAGATGATCTGCTAGGATGGGAATTTATCGTAAAAGAAAGAAGCTGTAAGATGCCTGTGCTGCAAACACAGCAGTGCATGAGTGCCGCCCAAAAAGTAGGTGGGTCAAGACTTTAGAAGGTGATAGTGCCATTGCCTATCCTTTCTTCGACAAGAGCCAACAGGAGGGGCAGAATGGCCGATGCTCATACTCAAGCCATTAGTTTGTAGTCTTGGGGAAAGATACTCTCATGTTCCTGCACCGGTAAATCAATTCAGAGCTCTTAGGTGTCTCTGCCTTCCTGCCCAGGACAGTGCCGTGTGTTAGGTGAAGCGAGAGGGGATGCATCCTTCGCACTGAGTTGCAGGGGAAGGCTGCAGGACTGCAGCGCTGACCTGCTGTGTGTGGCATCCTTGCATACAGGACACCGACAAGAGGTGTCCCCTTCCCCTGCCAACCCTGGCACAGTGTGGGTGCTCACCTCCACCTCGTTTTGTCACCTGGTGGGCCAGAGGCAACTGGGTGACAGATTAATGGGTTAAGTGGAGAGGGAAGGAGCTGTGTGAGGTCCTGTGCTGGACCAGGAGGTAAAGAGCTGGGGGTGAGGTTAGGGTGTGCGCACTCACATGCTTGCACACATGCACCCCCCAAGTCTGTTATCCTGCAGAGGTTTGAGTGGGCATTTTGACTTTGTGTACCTGAGTTGACAATCCTATTTGAAGCAAAAAGAAGTACATTCATAAGGCTTCTGGAAATTAGGGCTAAGAATCTCTAAGGAGCATGAAAGTTATAAACTAGATAAATATTTAAGTGTGCTGGCTGCTTAGGTCACTCTTGCTGGTGAATTCTACCACAAGCAATTTCCTTCCCCACCTTCACAGTAAACCTAAGACCTGTTCTGAATCCACAAGCTTTCTGGCACATTGCTGCTACGAAATCAAAATCCCGCACAAGTAAAAGAACCTGTAGGGTTTTAAATGTGAAAATAACGCTGAATTTTACGTTGACATTCAGGTGTGGTTCTGATGATCACATATTCTCTGTTGTTTGAGCATGTTTCTATCAAAAATATTTACCTAAGCATTTCACAAAGTGGTCCGCAAGAGGTAAGCACAAAATTTTGTGGTTAAGGCCTAAATTCACCCAGAGGCTTAGGCTGAATGAAGCCTGTGGGCATGGCAACATCTTACTCCTTCCCAATGGGAATCTTCAGTCCTGAGTTAGACCTCCAGGCACAGATCTGTTTTTCAGTGGTCTAGGAAGGTGTGAAAACCTCAAAGCAGGGTTCACAGTGGTGGTCAATGATGGTACCTTTCTAGCCTGGGTATCCTAATGGCTATTGCACTCTCCTGGGGGCTAGGTGGCTGATGTTCAAATCCCTCTCTGCCTCACTGAGAAAAGCTTTTGAATACGGTTTTCAGCCCCTCAGTGACTGCTTTATCTAAGGGACTTCGGGAGTTGAAGCAGACTTATTTGTCTCTCAGGTTGGAGCTGAGTTCTGTTTTGTAAAAAAAAGTGAATATATTCACTGGGCAGGACAGAAAACTGAGGAAACTTCAACAGATCAGCATTGACAAGACTTGGGCATAATTAATCCAGAGTTCCAGTTGCTAAACATCAATTTAAAAAAGCTAGGAAATTGAAAACCTTAAACTCTTCCCACAGAATTTAGCTGTGCAAATACTATTATATAGTTTTGCACAGAGGTGTATTTTTGCCCCATATGCCTCTAGTGCCCACCGGTTAAGTGCACTGGACTGACAAAGCATAGTGGCTCTGCAGGTCCCTGGCTTTCTGAGGAATGTGCTGGTGGTGTAGCCTACCCAGGTAATCCAACCAGGAGGTCAGGGTGCCCTGAGCTAGGTGAGAAGTGATGAGGCAGTTGATTCCCTTTATGGACCCTTGTACAACACAGGGTACACCCACCAGGAACACACGTCTGAATTTAGAGTCTCTCGGAGGAGCGAGGGAAACGTAAGGGTGTGCTGCTGCCGCCAAGCTGGTTCACCTGGTTTTGCACTGGGGTCACGTTCCCCTTCTTGTCCATGCAAAGGGCACGCAAGTTGCACGTAGCCTGCACTCTGGAGGGGAACCCTGCTGCTGGGGAGCCCAGTGCAGAGCAGTAGGTAACCCTGCTGCCGGGACCCCACCCCATACGCTCACAGGTCAGACCGTGTTGCTTGGTCAGAAGATCCCTGGCCAGTTTCCCCAGCACAGATAACACAAACAGCCTGCTGGTATGTTTGCACAGACCTAGTTCACATACAGCTCAGGGAGCACTCAGAGCAGTCATCCAGGATCAAATCTTAAATGTCTTACTCAGACAAAAGACACGTTAAATTGTTTGGTGCTTTGTCCAACAATTCAATCTTACAGGACTTGGCTTTAATTTTATTTTAGAGCAATCTTTTTTTTTCCCCATATGTAAATATAAAAAATCTCAGATGCACATCAAAAAGCCATTTTCTATTCTCTGTGTTGTGTCAGCCTTTATATCTCTGTAGCCGTTGTTTAATTTGTTCTATTCCCTTTGTTCCCATTGCAGTATAGAATTGGAAAATTCAACAAAGGTCAAAAAATGATTCAGTCATAAAGACTATCACTTCCAGCTCAGGATTATTGCTCACAATATTTTCTCTGGACTGGCTCAGTCCAGACTTCAGTGGCTCAGAAAATAATGTTGTCCTTGTACTTGATTTGGTTAAAACACTGTTACTCAGTCCTCACACTGGTGAAAGGAATTTCAGTGCAAATGAGATATTTTCATAGTATGGTAAGCTAAAACGAAAACCATCTTTCAGTGAAGCCTTTCAGAATGCCTTTCAGAAAATCACTGAAGAATTAGGACTAGTGTGGCTCTTATTCCCTTAGGGACGTTAATGTGCTACACCAGGAACAAATAAATAAATCACAAATGACTGTCAGGCAGACGTGGGAAAAATGATTCTTCTTTACTGAAACTATTGGATCAAGTGACCTTGTTTTGACCTGGGTTTGGGCAGAAGCCAGTCCCAGAGGGACAAACGTAAGAAGGCTGTACTAGAGATGACTTTGGTTTTTTGCTTATTTTCTTTTTGTTGGGCAGAGTTTTAGAATAACAGAGAAAAATCAAAACCACTTGAATAACTGATGTATTTATTTTCTTATATACATTTAAATATGGCACATCTGACAGTAGTTGTACAATAAACTCAAAATGATAATCAAAGCTGGACAGTAGAACAAATAACTCAGTGCTGAACCTATTAGAAGCCAAATCCTGTACACTGAATTTCTGAAGAAACTTTCACCCAGGAGCTGCATTAGCTAAGGATTCAGAGGCTAAGATTATTTAGTCTCAATTTCTGAAGGACGGGCTGGTGACTGTGGCTCTGTTACCAATGTACCAGCTTCATCTTCCATAACATCGAACTGGCTCTTTCCACTCTTTCTTCCACGCAGCCAGCAATTCATCGGTTGTCGTTACCTCTTAGAGAAAAATTTTCAATGTCCCAGAGGATTCATCTGCAGTTAGTGATTATTCTAATAAATAAATGCAGACTGGATTCATTCTTCTGCTATTAATGTGGAAGGTGTTTGTGTTTACTATTGTTTGAAAGTCAGTGACAGCTACTTTGCAAAGCAGTGACCTTCTGGAGAATAGGGGAAGCTCAGTCAAGGAGTTTCTTTGCTTTGAGACCCATGAGAACCTCTCTTCTCCTTCGGACAACGACAATGCCTGGAACACATTGGTTTTGCAGTTGGACATGTTCTGGGTTGTGATGGACATTTGTCCTCACAGCTGTTTGATAAAGGAGGAAAAAGCAAAAAGAGAGAAACATTGTAATATGATAATTCTTCACTGTCACTTTCCTCAACTTTTTCATCATTGAACACTGCAATGCTGTCTAGACAACATCTGGGAATGCGTCGATACCCTACCACACAGGGAGACAAGATTTTGCTGCCTGACAGTTCTTGTCTGCAGTGACATGACTTGCTGTTACCTATTTGTCCACAGTCACGACCTAAGTAATGCTTTCATTTCTTGAGAGCAGTGAGGTCCAGAGTGTCAGCACTGGATAGTGCTGCCGTCAAATCCTGTGAAGCTGACACTTCAGCTTTGGTCCTCCAGGAGTACTGGGCATAAAAGTCCCATGTCCAGTTAATAGAAGCCAAACTCATGTAAACAAATTATTGCATTGATTCCCCTCCCACCTGTCTGAAACACATAAATGACAAAGTCGCTCATGCTCACTTTCAGCTCGGCTGATTCTTTTAGCTATTTTTATACTTGTTGTCAACTATTTTCTGCTTGCCCATAATTTTAAAGCTGAAGCTAAAGATGCAGAGGTTATTTCTTCCACAGCTTCTTCTCCATGAATGAACCTATGAAGTCTATGAGAATGGACCCTGTGGGTGACCATTCAGTGAACTGCAGCTCTGCTAAGGTACCCAGGGAAACGGGATGCTGAATGTCCTTACATAAACTTTCAGACCAAGCTCCTGCAGGCTCCTGGGTCTCTATATGGGATCAAGGCTTTCTGAGAAATTTAAAGAATAAACTAATGCATGAAAATGGGTATGAAGAGGGCATTTTCTAGGTAAGTTTTGTCAAAGAAACCTCAAAACTAGCTACACAAAAGGATTAGGGAAATGCATGGAGTATAACAGCCCCAGAACAATTTTTCTCCTCAGTGGAATCAGAGCTGATTGAGTGGGTTTGTATGCATACAAAATGGCATTAGCTCTAGAAAATCACTTGCTCTGAGGACAAGTTGAATAAGGAATGTGCTGTGTGGTGTGGGTGCCAGCTTAGGGAACCTTTGTCCCTAGATGTCTGTGAGACTGCATTCTCACAGAGAACATGGGATGTGTTCTACCTACCTACAAATGCAAGACTCAGTGTCTCACTGTAAATCCCCTGTGTCACACAGTAATTTCAGTTGTAGCACAGTTTTAACCACCATTCCCTTAAGATCACGGGGAAAAAAAGTAATAAATATTCATAGTTGAATATTATCCTTGTTCAGATATCTTTAAAACATGTTATTTAAATAAACCTTAGACTCCTTCTATGAGGTAAGTATTGTAAATATCATCTCTATTATTATCTCCCTAACTGCAGCAAGGTATTTTATTCCAGGTGGACCTCCTAACTAGCTCAGCACTTGTACCTCCAGCACCTACACAAGCTAATTCAGATCTTGCAGCATAGACACTGAATGACAATGAACACTTGCCTGCAGGTTTCAGCATGAAATATCTTGTGCTTTAGAGCACAGCTCTCCCGGCTCTCCCTACACAAATAGCAGCTGCAGTTCTCTTTACTTTGAAAGAAATCTGTAGGACACTTCTGTCTACAGATGCATTCGCAGTTTTCTTCATCAAATTCCATATGTTGTCCACACATAGCCAGCTCAGCAAGAGGAGGGAGTCCTGCAATAGCACATACATCTTTTAGCAGTAAGCTTTATCTGTCTAAATCCTGCTTTTGAAGAGACTTTGTAATCACTAGGAATCACACATGTACTCTCATAGATTCTAGTCTTCAGAATTTCTGTTGTAACTTACAGTGCAGAAAAGGACTTGAGAGGCTGGGGCTGATGACTTTACTTACCCTAATACTGCTATATCTTGTGGGCTGAACCCTGCATAAAAATAGTTTATTTTGAGGCTGTATATTAGAAGAGCCTAGTTTTAGGTTTTGGAATGCACAAATCTTTATTGGACAGCAGGTTTTAAAAAGAAAATCTCAAAAAAGATTTAGTCTATACCCATGATAAAAATGCACATCTGTGCAGGCTGTCACAGTCACCACTCAATGTACTTCACTATCCATATACTGCAGAAATTCTGCAAAAGTAATGCTATGTCTAGTAAGGTGCGAGCTGGTCTAGCACTTAAATAAGGAGCATATGCACACTTGTCAGTTAAAGAAAATACTTTGTTTCAGAAGCAAAACTTCAGCCAAGTGAACACACTGTCCAATACCTCACATATCTTCCTTCAAAATACACATCTGGAGTACAATATGAAGCTAATCCTAGCAAAAACGGAACACATTTTGTGAAAGCTTTATTAAAATGCTAGCAGCACATCCCTGGTTAAAGGTCATGGCATAAAATGTGTCATTGGGAAGGTAATTTCCTGTGGTTTTACAATTAGCTCGTGCATTTAACCTATGGAATGTGGAATGTAACCTGTGTCCGCGACCTCTGCAGCCTGAGCTCTGATCATAGTGGCAAGAAAAGGCTTGCGCATTACTTGAAAGAAACCTTTATTATTATTTACTTAATGCTGGAAAACCAATATCCAGACAGAATAAAACCCAAGTCCTACTGGAAGGAAGAAAGGAATCTGCCCCAAATTCTTGGAAGACAAACCCCTTCCTTGGGGTGATAAAGCTTGGAGTGTGTGAAGTGGTGTAGGGTGTTTCAGTCTCGCTTTCTTTCAACCTCAAAGACAGGTTTTAAGTTCTTTTGTCCCAGCCATTGCCAAACACAATGTACTTCAGAGAATGATATTGTATCTGGGGAAATATTGAGCCTATGTCAACAGAAAATGTAATTCAACAAGCCACAAATTTTAATGCTCCAAGCTGACCTTACAAAAGGCTAGGAGTTAAGAGGACTGTGGCTATTCACAGTCCTTTGGACTTTGAAATATAGAGTACTAATCCTTTCTTGAGTGAAAAGACTAACTTGAGCTTAACTACCTACCCTGATGGTCAGATGATCTGATACAGAGTGAGAACAGATCCTGAGAAACCGCTATGCAACTCATCTCTTGCTTATTAACATTTGAAGATTGTAATCAACAGACCAGTTTATGAGGATATTTGTTTTTATTTTAGCTCACTAGTCTAGGAATTGCTTGCCAGCTTGCTTTTATTGTTGCCTTGGATGGTTTATTCTTCTGCTTGCTGCATGCAGGTTAAACCACAAAGGCAAGGCTTCCTTCTGTGTCCGTCTGCTCTAGTGCTATGATAGTTTTACTTTGACCGGTACAATTTTCTGAGAAAAACATTAAAAAAAATCCCCACCCTATACAGGGCTTGGAGAAATTTTAACTTCTCTTTATGTTTACTGATAGTAAGTATCTTTAGATTTACACAGTTGCCCGCCCCCCCTGAATATTTCATGCAAATTTCTTTGGCAGATTAAAGTTTTCCAGGGAAAGCAGAAGGAGGAGGGAAGTAGTGTACACTTCTACGAATTTTACCCTGTTCTGTTTCCTTCCAGAGACCTGAAGGGATATACATGCATACTTCTGAGTGTGTATGACATATCAGCTTGAAAGCTTCCTCAATACCTTAATATTATCATAAAAAGTAGTCAAATACTTTGAAATATCATATAATCTTTTGCACTGACTACAGCTAATAGGTAGGACTGATTTTGCCTGCCTTATTTCTGATTGTCTGTTTTTCAGAATTTCCCACAATAAAGATTCAGCACCTGCCTCATGCAGTATATTCCAGGGCGGGTTTTTTTTTCTACAGTTAAAAAATTTTCCCTAATGCCCATCATACAATTTAAGGCCCATGTAAAATAAAAATTTATGCAGGGTGCCTATTTCACTAGCTCATTTTAATGCTTTCCTGTTTCCCACTTAGTTTGCTAATATAGAGAGAGTAAAATGTCCAAGCAAAAAACATGAGATGAGGATAAGCACATATGAATGTTTATTTTCAAGTGAGTTTCTACACCATAAGCCAAGTCTATCTAGGGATGTGGAATCAAAACTATAACTCTCTCAATGAAAAAATATGACAAAACCAAAATGAAACACAAGCAGCCTGGAGATAGTAAGCAAAAGTGTCCATTTGTAATTTCGTCTTTACCTTCTCGTCTGTTGGGGTGCTCTACATCTACAACACATTCACATTTGTCACTATCCCAGATCCATCCATTATGGCAAATTTTGTTGGTAAAGGGGCATCTAGAGGAAAATAAAATTAAGGTAGGAATTAAAAAAAAAAAAATTAGCATAAGTGTAATCATTTGGCAAAATGAGCCTGCTGGTATGCTGGGTCTGCCACTTGTACTATGTGAAGATACAGCATCTGTGTGCATTACTGCTGCAAAGAGAAAGCGTGGGGACTGGGTGGTTTTGCTGGTAGGGTTGAGCTATCTGGCTCCCAGCAGCTAGAAGGAGCAGGTACAGCACGTATTTGAGATTACATCCTTAGCAAACAGCTACAATTTCACAGCTCCACTTTTCCATAGAACAGATCTACCCCACCCAGGGTAGTCTTTGTCTTACTATTCATACCATGCAACTGTATTCAATTTTGCCATGCAGCTCCAGTTTATCTTTGTCCAAGCTTAAGGATGTACAGTGAACTGTTTTCAGGGTCAGAGGGGCCAGTTTGACTTTTAGGTATTCTGCTTTGGGAGTGGAAGTCACAAACTGGAAGAAGGCTGAGGTTCTTCTGCATTTGTGTAGGAAGAGGATTCAGAGTGGCCGGCAGGCTGAAGTGAGGGCTGGAGTGGCTTTGCTGAAATGCCACCTCTTCCCCAGCCCAGGTGACTGACTGAGGGGCACTTATGGGGGCAAGCCTACATGCTGGGCTAGACAGAGACATCTGAGCTGACCTTGAATGAGTCACTCAATCTATCTGTGTTTCTAGAGTCTTTGTTAGATTAATGTAGCCTGTTCTCACCAGTACTACAGGTTTTTTATACCATACTTTGGAGTTGGATGTGAGATCACTTTTCTTCAGCTGATGAGCCTGATAGATGCAAACCAGGAGTGGACCAGAAAGTGAAAAGCCACAATTCACATTGATTCTGACCTGGCGTGCCATGAGGTATGGCAAAGGGCTGTAGCTTGAGCACAGCATTCTGTGTGCCCTGGCTAAATAATGCATGAGCAGAGTTGCTCGTGTCAGGTTGAAAAAGTCTGTGCACTCACACACACTCAAATAGTGCCAGTGGAGCATAGTGCTAATACGTGCACTTTGAGCCCCCGCTCAAGCACCTTGATGTCTTAATGACTGCAGATGCTGCTGAACTAGCCTGCTGTTTGTTGGAGTCTGGTGTCCTTTCTCTTATTATTCACCAGGTTTAGTTGAAGCTTTTTAAGCCTGAGTGATAATCAAGTTATTTGGAAAAATTTTGGGGATAACAGAAAGTGAATGGACCATTACAATGACCAAACCAGAACAAAATAATTTTCATCCTTCGGACTACACAACATGTGTAGGAGTTTGTAAATGAGGGAACTTACCCATCTTCTTCTGGGTACTGGACAGATCTTCGTATGATGGCGTACTGGTGGCGCTGGGTATTTGATAGACACTTACAACCTGTGTGATTGGCAATTTTGATTGGCACGGGCTCAGGAACACTTGTCAAGGGAACCGAGATCTCAAAGAGCTAGGTGGGTGAAATAACATTTATTTTTCAGTTTCCATTATACAGTTAACATTTGGAGTTTTAAATCAAAACCTCTTATTCTTTGCCACCATTTTTACCACCCTTGCTCTTTTCTAGAGATAGTTACCATAGGTATAAATGAGCAGGTGAGCGTTGAGGGTTTTGAAAAGTAAGCAATGCCCACCAAGGTAGGAACTTGCCAAAACGGTGGTCCCAGTGCTGTATCACCAGCTATTAAACACCCAAGACCATTCAAAATTATTTGCAAACACACTCAAATGCCTATTCTGGATGCTAGGGCCAAATGGAAGAGATACAGGTGTTGGGAACTTTGTTCTCAGTTATATCATCACTTGAATCTCAACCACATACGGAGGGTCCTAGGGTATAATCACAGCATGCATCTTTAGGGACCTAACTTAACCCCCACAGCCTTCTCAGAGAGGGAAGAAACGGGATTAAATAGAGGAGAGTTCATCCCACTTCATCTGGGTTCCCGCAGGGAATCATCCTGGAAATATCTCTCTGTTGACTATAGCAGGAGCCTAAGGAACCAAGCAGCCTACCTTCAGTGCGTCTAAATCATTTAGGGTGGTCTCTGAATAGCCTTGTGTAAGCCCTCGTTCCTTGGGCAACTACGTGTGGGAGCTGCTGAAAAGACTCACACCTCCTCTGCCCCCCCAGGCCAGCTTCCTTCCCATGGAAACCAAAGCGCAGGGTAAGTCGTCATGTGCCAGCGTGCCTTGGCTTCGCGCTGCATCCACGTGCAAGGGCTGAGAAGTATCCCTAAGCCAGACTGCTTAGACATTTAAATTTAGGTGTTGCAGTGTCTAACTTCAGGTGGTATGAATATCCTTCAGTGGATATTTTATAACAAGGGGAAAAAATGCTTTTACTAATATGGCAGTAATTCTGGACATTTTAGAGGAGTAAATCTGGACTGATGGTGGTATATTCAGGAGTGGAACTTAGCTGGGAGCTTTTGAGGGAATGGTTATTTTGAAGGATGCTAAAGGAATGTTACACTCTGCAAAACTGCAGTTTTTCAACAAACTTGTGAACTGCTGCTCCAAAAACACATATATAAATAAATACTTTTTATCCTGACTTAGCTCCCTGAGCTGATCGGATGTCTTTTGTGTGTGGCCAACAGCTCCTAACAGTTTTCTCCTTCTGGTGTGGAATGAAAGCAATTAATGAACATTGACGCAAGAAGAACAGGACCTGATTTGTTTTACTCCAGCTACATTCCAGTACCACCAGACACAGTGGAATTACATTCCAACAAACCTCAAACAAATACAGAAGTGAATTGGACCTGCTCCCCATGGGGACTTCAATTTTCTTTTTAAAACAACTGCACTCAATCTTTGCTCTGATTTAAAGAAAAGCCTGTTTCATAAGTAGAATTTAATATATTACTCTAAGTCAAAAGGTGTTATCAACTATAAGTAGGGATGCACAAGGTGAAGATTAGTCAAGGAGGTCCAGTCTCCTGTGCTCCTCCTGTAGGTGTGAACACAGATGGTTTCATCTGTAGAGCTGATTGAAAGTACTAAACTTGGAGCTCTGCTCAGTCACCCGCTGGAGCAAGATATCTCTGTACGTAGACACTAGAGGGAGTGTAGAGGAAGTAGCTCTCTGGCTACTCACTTTATGCTCACTTTTTGGTGCTGGTCGTTAAAACTCAGGTATTTGTCACCTGTTGCACCTAAGCAGTAATTGACTACTAGTTTAAGCATTTATTTTCCAAAGTGACTGTGATTTGGGACATTCAGATCCTGAGGCATTCAAATTGAGAGCATCTGGCTCTCCTGCCGAAAATGTCTCCTTTTTAGGGTCACACAACTGCACATCCAAAATTATTAGCCAGCCTTTTTGACACTGATGGCAATTTTGAAAATGCAGCGCTTGGACTCCTGGCTTCGCACAGCAAAATTTCACAGAGTCTCTCTTAATCCTTTGGTGCAGAGGATTCCCATGAGCCAATACTCTCAATAAGTCCCAGGTCCAAGTAACAATACATCAAAGGGTACAAATACACTTGAGTGGGAGTGTTGATCTGCTGGAGGGTA